ATCTTAAACACAACACCTGCTGCCCTAAATCTGATATGGCCTAATAATGACAATCAAGCACAAGCAGCTTTTAACTGAATACCCAAGTTAATCAAAGCTCTTTAAATGTGATTAGATGAATCTGAACAGAGCAGACACAGTGAAATAAATCAACCAGAATAATCTGTTTCATTTTACTAGGAGGTTGGGAAAGGAAGGAACATTTATTAAATGATGCAAGGTGTTGGAGATGCTGCCTCAGGGGTGTGACTATCAACGCCTGACTGCTGGATAGCACATGACCTAACAGAGGGCAACAACCTGCTCAGGGATAGGTACTGTTTCCATGTAGAAAGTGGGGGTCCACTCCTCAAGAGAAGCCAGAAAGCCAGACTTACTGTGAAATCTCCTCACTCTTTTCCTTGATCTTTTTGAGACAAGGTCTCACTATGCAGTTCAGGCTGGTCTTGAAGTCACTCTGTAGACCAAGCTGGCCTCAAATTTGTAATGATCCTCCTGCCTCAGCCTCCTGAGTGCTGGGATTACAGGCATATGCCACCCTGCCAAGTTACCTCTCATTTTTAAATAGTGGCAACTAGTTTGAGTTTTAATTAAATACTGTAAGGACAAACACCTACAAGAGTGATGGCAAACTTTTTAGAGCTTTCAATGATACAAACAGCCCACTATGGTGGTGCCATAGGTTCACTATCACTGACCTATATGCTAGATATGGCCTGCCGGCTACCAGAAGGATATGTGAGTGCCTAAACCAGGGGATATGTTTATCTTTGGAGTCAAGTGGCCCTCAAGAAGATTCCATCTAAGTATGTGTGTGTGTGTACAGACAACAAGGAGGGCCTGGAGGAACACTGACCAATTGCCATCCCATCCAGGAGGAGGGCTAACACTTCCATGATGTCACTGAGCTGCATTCAGTCCTATCATTTTATGCCTGCCTCACAACCACCTTATGACAAGGTAGCATTTTACTCAGCTTCACAGATGGGTCATTTGAAGCTATGAAATGTGGTCCCTGCACAATGAGAATATCAACTTCCCTTTATCTTCCTTAGGCTGACAGCTCAGACACAGACACAGTCCACTGTCCAGGCATTTCCTCAGACCTAACCTGGATGCAGAGGCTGCTGGTGTTTGTGGGACTGGGTGACATTCTCACTTTGGCCACTGCTGCACTGTGTTGGGGATGCCAATCCTATCTGCGGCCTACCTCACTGCCATGCTGTGGTTTTGAATGAACTGAGCTCTTCCTGCTATAATCTACCTCGGATCCACCATGCAGAAGTTACTATGTTACCTGGCCACAAAGCTGGCGGTCTTGTCTACGATGTTCCTGACCTCCGGGGGAGGGTAAATAATCCCCACCACGGGCTTGGAAGGGGTAGAATCCTCCTTTGAAGATGGTTCTTCTTCAGCTGGCTGTGAAAACAAGAAAAGGAAGTACGGTCATGAAGTCCCTGGTTTGGGGCAGGATCTCCATGAAACTCCTCCAGAATACTGGTGAGAATAGACCTTGTTCCACAGACTTTCTCAGGTTACAACCCTCAACTTCAGAAACCTAGTTCTCTTAACTACGTGGCACTTGCACAGGTTTGTCCTGGGACGTAGGGAAAAGGGCAACCTGCCCAGCTAAACTAGACTATCTCAGAGGGAACAGCAATCTGCATTTTTACCAAGTACCCAGGTGATTCAGATGTAGGGGCTCTGGCAACATTCTGAAAAATCACATTCCAGAATCCAGAAGTTCATGCTTGTAACTCTGTGCCCACCACTGTGCCTACCCCAGAATATTTACGTTTGCTAAATAAAGAAATGAGAAGTCTGAAGTATAGCTGAGTGGTAGGGTGTGCTTAGCATGTGCAAACCTCTAGGTTCAAAAAGTGGAAATTCCTTGCCGGGAGTTCCTTTTGCCTTAAATGCCCTTTCCCTCTTTGTCCACTCCCGTCGTACAAAACAATGGAATACCTAACATTAATTGTCCCATACTCTTCCAGTGCTAAGTGCTAGTGATTTGAACTCAAGGCCCCATGCATGCTAGGCAAGTACTCTACCACTGAGCTACATCCTTAGTCCTAAATAAAGTTTTGAGATAGAACTTAAGTTGCCCAGGCTCATCTGAAACCTGTGATCCTCCTGTCTCAGCCTTCCAAGTAGCTGGGATTACAGGTATGTGCCACCATGCCTAGAAAGTTCTCATATTCTTTTTTTTTTGAGACAAGGTTTTGCCATGTAGTACAGGCTGGCCTTGAACTCATGTGCCACCACGTGCGGCTAGTTCTCATATTCTTAACCCAGCAGCTTCTTCCCTTACCAAAGTGTCAAGTCTCTCAGAAAAACAAAGTTTCTCGTCTGTCTTAATGTTGTGCTGTGCTGCTGCCTTCTCCCTCCCTTACTTCCTCTGGTATCTGATCACCCTGAGTTCCCACTTCCTCACTTTCACATGGTTCCCACTCATTCTAAGTGCTCTTGCCAAAGTCAAAAGTGACCGCCTCGAGCCAGCGACAGCTATCATTTGGGCATGAGGTGACCATTCCTTCAGAAAGCTGTCCACTCAACTCCTAAGCCTCATTTTCACTTGTCTTTCCTTCTTGCTCACCATTCTTTTCTGGCTCCTAATTTACTTCCTGCCCTATAATGCTGGAGAGCTCCAAAGATCTGTTCACAGTACTCAGGTTTTCAGGCCCTCACAACTGTGCCCTCCAATTCCCTTACTACCTCTAGGCTGAGCAATCCTGCCTGCCCAAATCAATGTCCCACATCACTCCTAAACTTTAGATCCAGTGGACTCCTGAGCACTTTCCAACCTCACGAATGGCTGCCCAGTCACACAGGCTAGAAACCAGGGCCTTCCTCATTCAGTGATAATATTTATTAAGCACAAAACAGGCCCAGATACTTTTCTGTTTTGTTTTGTTTTTTCAGACAGGGTCTTGGTTGGGATATAGCTCAACGACACAGCGCCTACCTGGCAAGCATGAGGTCCTGAGTTCAATTCCCAGCGCTCCCTCCTCCAAAAAAAAAAAAAAACAAAAAACAACCAAATAGAGACAGGGTCTGGGTATGCAGTTCAGGTTGGCTTTGAACTCACTATGTAGTCTAGGCTGGCCATATGCCTCAGTCTCCTGTATGCTTCGATTGAGCCACCACAACCAGCCCAGGCACTTTTCTAAGCACTTTAAATTTATTAACTCTTACAACCCTTACGAAAGTATGTGCGGTAATGACTCTTTTCCCCAAATTACAGATGAGAGAATTTAACTGACAGAATCAGGATTTTAATACACAAGGTGGAGAGCCTGTACCATTGGCCATTTTGTGACAAGCACATGCCCATCCTCTGTGCCCCACCTAGACCTGGCCCTCTGCATCTTTTGAATAGTAATCAGCCTTCCACCCTAGTGACTCTCCACATCACTTCCTAATTTCTCAAACGCAAATGTCACCATCTAAAAAAGCTTCCATTTCTCCCACTGTCTATAAAGACAAGTTCAAATTTCATAATCTCACCTGCCACCATTCTCCCAATCCTGTATTTCAACAGTACTTGCTTATTTACTCATCACCAGAGAAAGCATGGCTTCTTCTTACCTTTTTGTCTACTGATTACCTTGTATTGTCTTGTTTATTTTCCCTCAGTGATTAGAAAAATGCCAGGGGCACTTAAACATTTGTGGAAAGGGCATAGGCCTCTTCTGTCATGTTCCCTGCTGTACTGTCATATTCTTCGCTGTATTCTGAATCGAAAGCAGTGATCAGCATATAATATGTGCTCAATAAATGTTAAATGAGTAAAGTGTGCCATTTGCCTTCCCTAATCACCTCTCGGTGAACTATTTATCCTAAAAACAATTTATCTCTCCTTCCTGTGGGCTTCTCCTACCTTCATCAAGCAATGCTCATTAAGTTTTCGTTTCTTTACTGATACTTTTATGGCTCATACTACATCATACTTTAATTATTTATGTGTATTCCCCTCCCCCCTCACCTGGTTGAGAGTTTTTGAAGAGCTGATTGGCACTGTATCATTCACTCAGTGGTCTGGACAATAAACATTTACGAGTTGCCTGCCTCTCTCCTTACTAGTCTGGGCGCTCTCCTATGGAAGAGGACTGTGCCTCATTCATTTTGATATGCTGGACCCTGGCACGATGTCTGGGTTAGGGTAAACACCACAGATGCTGAGAAGTAACATCCAAAACTGTACCGTGCAGGCTGGGTTTGCTGGGCAAAGACTGGGGCGGCGGGCCCAACTGCCACAGACTAATGGAAGGACTAGATCAATGCTTCTCACATTTTAACGAATCGCCTTGGGATCTTGTTAGAATGCAGATTCCTACTTAGATCTGGGGTAGACTTTACTTTTTTTGTTGTTGTTTCTTCCAGGACCGGGAATCGAACTCAAGACCTTGCGCTTGCCAGGCAGGCGCTATGCCGCTGAGCTAAATCCCCAGACCCTTGACTCTACATTTCTAATAACCTCCTAAAGCGATGCCCAAGTTGCTCGATCTGGGACCATTTAGAACCACTGTTAAGCGGGCTCGCAAGGCTACCATGGAAAGCGCGCTGCCTCTTGGGACTTGTAGTCCCTCCCAGAACTCCAGAGCAGCGGCACAGTACCGCGCGCCAGCGAAGGAGGGGAGGGTCCAGGCCTAAGGAAGGGCTGCCGGTCGAGGTGAGGGGGACGCGGTACCTGTTTCGGCTCGGTGACCACCGGCGGCGGCGGGGGCACCGCCTGCACGGGTCCGGCCGGCATGACTGCGATGCTCAGGGCTGCCAGCCCGCCTCTGTGTAGATAACCGCTGCTGCGTCAAGACAGACTCACACACCAAAGGTACGAGGAGCTCTCAAGATGGCGGCCGCCGAGCAAGACCTTGCAGCGAAGGCAAGATTATGAATTTCCGGTCCCGCCCCCTCACCTTTGACGTGCTTCCGGCCCCTCCCCCGGCGAGGCCGCGCGCTACTCCGTTGTCATGGCAGCAGCCTGGGAGCCAAGCTACGGGTTTCAGAGGATCCCTGAAGCAGCAGGCGCGCCGCAGGCAGTTCCTTGAGCCTGCTGACACAAAACCTGGACCGGCGACGCCAGAGACAGGTGAGATGTTCTGTACCACCCGTCGGACGCCACAGCACTTCCCTTTACTTCCCAAGCCTATTCCTGCTCCCTCCCACCCGGACTTTCAAGGCTCCCTCCCTTGACCTCTCACGTTGGAGAGCCCCTTCCCCTTAGGCCCACCCGCTTCAAAGTCCCACCTTCAAACTTCACGCTCGTAATTCCCAGGCCTCTTTTCCATGGGCCTGCCTTTTCTAGGTTCCACCCCTTCTCAAGTTGGGCGCTTTCCTAGGTCGCAATCTTGACTCCCATTGTGAAGTCTGCATCCTGTTCCTCTCTCTTGCCAGGGCTGGGGTCAAGCAGTAGTCCAGCCTCAAGCTTCCTGAGTAGCTGGGACTACAAGCATCCGCTATGGGCATGGGCTCTAGCTACCATTATTCTACACTAATAACAGTAACAGTGGCGTAAACCTGCTGCAGGTTTATGGAGGGAGGGAGGTGGGGGGCGGGTCTTGAGGGAGAAACTCTATCACTGCCCCATTTCACAGGCAAGGAAACTGAAGACCAGGCAGGAGCTCCAAGCTGATTTTCCTCATTCCAGAGCTGAGAGGGAGAGGAGAGGGGACAGGAAGGACAGGATCTCAGCAGAGTGAGAAGCAGGCAGGATTGGAGGTGTGCTTCTGAGAAGTGAGGGGCCTAAAAAGATAGCTAGGATATATTGAGCATTTACTGAGAGCCAGACCATGTGTCAAACACTACATCATAAACGATTTCTTATAGCAACCTATTTACGGAGAATTGTGAAGTTCAGAGTGGGTAGGGTGGGAATCTGAACTCAGGTGAGTCTTTTGGACTAGTGCAGATGGTTATTCCTTTGTCTTCAATCCCTTCAGTGTCCCCGGGGATTCATGCATTTAGCAATCTCAGGTCAGAGAATGACAGCTGCCATGTAGTTGGCTTTAGCAGATGTATCCAACCTTTGGGCTGCAGGTTGGACACACATGTGTTTTAATAAAAAATATAAAAAAAGTGTCTGGGTATGGTTGCACCAAAGGTAATCTCAGCACTCTGGGTGTCTGAGGCAGGAGGATCACAAGTTTGAGACCAGCCTGGGCAACTTAGTGAGACTGTTTAAAAATCTGAAATAAATAAAAAGGGGTGGGGATGTAACTCAGTGTGAAGTCTTCGGGTTCAATTCCTTTTTTTTTGTACCAGGAATCGAACTCATGACCTCAGGCTTGCCAGGCAAGCGCTTATGCCGCTGAGCTATATCCCCAGCTGTGTTCAATTCCTAATGCCATTAAAATAAGTAAATAAAATTAAAAAGTAAAGGAACCAGGGCCAGGGATATAGCTCAGCAGCACAAACACCTACCTGTGGCAAGCATAAGGTCCTGAATTCCATTCCTGGTACCAAAAAGAAAAAAAAGTAAAGGAACCATTGAACAAATTAAAATTGCCCTGAAACTTTCCTTTTACTAATTTATCTATGCTAATTATTTTGTTAACACCCATCTTCTTAAAACTTACTTGTAGTATTTTGAAGTTCTGGATATATTCATATTCTAGCTTAGCTTTCTTTAAGGTGGTGGAACCAGGGAAGAGTACCCATAAACTGACAATAGGCAGCCCCTGAGTACAACTCTTTGATCTTTATCAGATTCTACTACAGGGATTCACTGATCCAGGTCAGCATGTCCTGTTGATTTAGGTTATCACTGGTGACTGATGTAGAAATATGCATTCACTACCATCTTCCCTCCATAACATGCTGACATAAAGGTTTGTTATCCCAGCTGGCTCCTTTTATAGACAGAGACTGGCTGCTTGCTGGAGGCAGTGAGCATAATCTTGACCAGTGGGGTAGGGTTCTGGGTCTGAGAGAAAGAAGGGGTTTGAACGTTGAATGTGAGAGAAGAAAAGGCTCCTGTTCTTCTCTGCAAGTCAGACTTTCACCCTGGAGCCTAAGGAACTAAAGGGAAGTAGAGTAAGCTTCCACTCCTAATAAGGGCAGTGCCATCACATTACCGCCATCACATGTGTGGTTCCTAGTATAGGTCAGGACTGAGGGTTCTACTCAAGACCCAGGAATTATAGAGAAAATTAAACGCTCCTTCACTTGATATATGCCTAAGTGCTTCTCAGACTTCTGCATCTGTATAACCTCAGTTTTCAGGACAATCCACAAAAGTTAACCCTGGACTCTTCGACCTTCCCTCCCTCTCTCTGTTTATTTTTTTCTTTCTTGTACTGGGGATTGAACCCAGGACCTTCACACTGAGCTACATCCCCAGACAGGGTTTCACAAAATTTCTAAATTGCCCAGGAAGGGCTTGAACTTGTGATCCTCCTGCATCAGCCCCCCAAGTTGCTGAGATTACAGGTAACCTTGGATATTCTTGATGCTTTGACACTTGCTGTTACTATCTGAAGCTATGTGAGCTGACCCCATGTGGCTACCGTAGTGTATTTGTTTGTTGTGGTACTGGGGATTGAAGCTAGGGCCTTTACACTGAGCTAGCTACATTCCCAGCACTTTTAGTTTTTGAGATGGGGTCCTGCTAGATTGCTCAGGCTAGGCTCAAACTTGTGATCCTTCTACCTCTGCCTCCCAGACTGCTGGGATTACAGGTATATACCACCATGCCAGGTTGCTAGCTAGTACCTTATTTGAAGGTGAACAGATTAGTGTTTCTTGGGGCCTTTTTAAACCTTCATAAGCAAGCTATGAGTCCAGGTGCTATGCCTGCTTCCTCCCAGGTAGAGCTTCTCGCTTGCTTGATTTGTTCCCTTCATGCCCATTTCAAATGTTTTGGTCTGGTTTTTTTCTCTTTGTTTCCATTTCACTCCTTAGGGACACAAAATCTCATAGGCAGTAGTATCTCAGGAGAGGCAGTTGCCAAAACAACATGTATGTAGGGTGCAAGCACGTATGTGTTTGTGTGTATACATGAATGCCAACAAATACGGCTTTCTTTGCAGTGAGTAAAGCTGACGCATCCAGTTTTCCTCTTTGTAAAGACCTTTAGACATAGTTGATGTTCCCAGAGGACAGGGTTCTGTGTGCCCTGTTTCCCCCTGCCCCTAGTCTTTTTGTTTTGTTTGTTGTTTGTTTTTTCATTTTTACTTTTTTACTTTTTTGAGATGGTCTTGCTACATAGTTCAGGATGACCTTGAACTGACTGTGTAGCCCACGTTGGCCTCGAATTCACAGTAATCCTCCTGCCTCAGCCACCTGAGTAAGAAAAGAAAAAAAAAGAAAAGAAAAGGGTTGAGGGGGCCGGGGATTTAGCTCAGTAGCACAGCCTGGCAAGCGTGAGGTCCTGAGTTTGATTCTGATACCCCTGCCCCCTAAAAAAGGGTTGAGGCCAGATGCAGTGATTACACCTATAATCCCAGCACTCTCGAAGGCTGAGACAAAAACATTGCAAATTCAAGCCTAACCTGGACAATTTAGTGACTTAGTGGGACGCTGTTCACAGTGAAAAATAAAAATGAGCTGGGGATATAGCTTATTCTATTCCTCCAGCCTGAAATACGCCCCCCTTCTTCCTAAGCAGCCTCCACCCTATCCCCAAGGAATCCTTGCCTGACAGTGTGGTCACTCACTGTCACCTTCATCCATTCCAGGGCCTGGAGGGCTACTTGAGCTCAGACTTGCACGGGAGACAGGAAGCCAGACACCTAGATGAGCCCGGGAGCCTGCAAGCTAATCCAACAGCCAGACACAGTTGATGGCTGCAGCTCCACAGGCAGGCACCCCTGAGAGGTGAGACCAGAGCCCATTGTCTGGGGAGACTGAAGGTCTCCAGGTGTCACAGACACAAGACCTGGGTGTCTAAGATTCCCAGCACTTGGGACAGGCTGGTCCTCAGGCCTCTCAGCCCAGGTTGCCAGGTCATATAACAGCGAACCTAAAGGTGACAGTTACGAGCTCATAGGGAGAGAGACTGTCAGCCAGATCATTAGCAGACTTCTGCCAAGGTCGTGGCAGAGGAGTAAGTTGCTAAGGAGCAACCCGATAGATTAGGTTTCTGGAAGATTCCTCCAACAGTAGCCACATCTCTCTGGCCAACGAGGCTCCTCTCTTCCTGCCCCAGGAGCTGTGGGAATGGCACACCTGCTGGGCAGCCAGGCCTGCATGGACAGCCTGCGCAAGGATCTCACCGACTTGCAGGGCACCATTGTGGATGTGTTCTCTCGCGCCGGACCTGTGCGCTTCCCCTCCTGGAAGTTCCCTGACCGTGTGGCCTGTGACCTCGACATGGTGGCCCTGCTGGAGCACTATGACCATGTGCCAGGTGACCCTGAGTTCACACAGCTGTCCCATGCTGTGCTGCTGGAGCTGGTCATTGACAGGTGAGGATCTTGACTGAACCTGGCCACCTCAGGGTGATGCCACTTGCCTCTTACAGCAATAGCAGCCACAGAAGCCCCTCCTAGAGATGGTGACAATGTAGTAACAATAATTACCATGGACCGAGTACCTGTTAGGAGCCGGATCAGCTCAGGACCCTCAAAATTACTCACCTTTAAAAAAACAAAATTGGTACTAGTGATTGAACCAAGGGTCTTCACACTGAGCTACATCCCCAGTCCTTTTTTAAATATTTTTTTTTTCCGGTACCAGGAATCAAACTCAAGACCTTGCGCTTGCCAGGCAGGCACTGTGCCGCTGAGCTAAATCCCCAGCCCCCTCTTTTTTAAATTTTTGAGATAGGGTTTCATTAAGTTGCCTAAATTGTCCAGACTGGGCTTGAACTTGCAATTTGCCTGCCTCAGCCTCTCACAGTGCTGGGATTGCTGGCATGCACTACCATGCCTGGCTGGCCCCTCACCTTTTATTGTGTTATGTGCTGTGCTGCGCTAAGCTATACTATGCTATCCTGTCTGCCTTAGGGAGTGGAGTTGCTGCCCAACCCTTTTTGTCCCCGGGGCACAGCAGCTCTGTCTGCTGCCTCCTCAGGTTTCTGTGTATCCGGGACTCCGGAGCTGCTACTCAATGTTTCCATCCCAGGCTATTTTTCCTGCTCTCTTACAGTTTGCATTGTTACCCCTATGCCTCACAAGGCCAGACAGGGGATGTGTTTTTCCAACTTCTAGCCTTGCTGGGAAGAGGCTACTAAATTCCCTGTAGTTCCAGCACTTCTATGCTATTGCTGGATGTTAAAGGCCTGTTGGCCTGAGGGTGTGGCTCAGTGACAGAGCACCTGCCTAGCAAGTGTGAGGCCCTGGGTTCCATTCCTAGCACCAGGTGTGCATGGTGGCACATACCTGTAATCCCAGCACTCAGGGAGGCTGAAAGGGAGGGTCACATGTTCAAACCCAGCCTGGGCAACTTAGCAATTTAGCAAGACCCTGTCTCAAAAGATAAAAAGGGCTGGGAATAATCCCTAGTACCACCACAATAGTAATAATAATGATAACAATAACAATAATGATAGCAGTACCAAAATAATAACAGCAGCAACAACAATAAAGTTAACATGATCATCAGCCTTTTACCTTCTGGGTATCACAACCCAGTTCTCAAAAACCTTCTATGCCAGTAAAGCCATGGGAACCTACTAGGCAGCAGCGACCTTGCAGGATGGGCTGCCTGGGGATGGAGAAGGCAGGGTTACTACTCTAGGCCCAGAGGAGCCTGGGTATGAAAGCACCATTTATAACCTACGATGGGCTGGAGAAATGTGAGTATAGAACACATCTTCCGTCCTATATGGCTTTGCATCACTCTGTGCCTTCGCTAGGAGTACCTGGCCCAACCCTTTCTGGTTTGGCCAAGCCTGTACTCCCTGGGGAATAGCTAGACAGAAGTGCTGCCACCCAGGAGGCCTGGAAGAGGTCCCTGAACCAAACTTGGGGCTGAGAAGAGCTTTCTGGAGGGAGCGGCCCCTGGATTGTGATAAAGATGGCCTGGCAGCGCACATTAAGAGACTCTCAAGTCCCTCATTAGCTCGGCCAGAAACTGCCAGTTGTGTGGTGTGAGGACACACTGACCTCAGGCCCGGCCCACCTTGCCATTTCTGCCCACAGACTCCTGCTGCTGCTTCAGAGCTGTGCCAGCTACCTGGAAAACCTTGGCTCAGAGCAGATGATGCCCTCTTCCCAGGCTGTGGGGCCCTGCATGTCTGTGGGGCTCACAGCGCGGCGCTTCTGGGGCAGCCTGTTGAGGCTAGGCGTGCTCTATCAGCAGACAGCCCCCCAGGTGGGTTACCCCAGCCCCGACTGTGATGACCCTCATACCCTGCCCTAGCTCCCCAGGGCATCACTGCGCACTGCCTCCTTCCCTGGCTCCCGACTGTCCATGAGGAGCAGTGTGAACTGAGCCTCCCGGTCAGGGCTCACGTGGCACGGCTGTTGAGAACACAGGCCTTGGGGGTCATGTCTGAGCCTCCTCGTTCTGTCATTTACCCTGTGGGACTTTGGGAAAATCCCAACTGTGGTCCTGTGCAGTAGGGGGGAATAGGAGCCCCATTTGTTACAGGTTATCTTACAGTCCTCACTGTCACCCAGTGAAGGACAGTGGTCACCATGAGGGGAAGGAAACTAGAACAGAGTGGTTATGGTGGCATGAGAGCAAGCAGGGGCCCACTAACCAGTAGCTGTCGCTGTCGCTGTCACTGTCCCAGGACCACACATACATCAAGCCAGGGCTGGGTTTGCTAAGTTGAGTCATAGGCAAAGAGGGAGAAGGTTCTTTCTTACTTGCGTTGGTGTCAGGTATCATCCAAGGATCCGAGTATTGAAGGTTGTCACAGAACATCCCCAGGGAACCAGGCACCTCACAGGCCCATCTCTCTCATTGTTTTTCTTTCTTTTCTTGACCCCAGGAAAGGGCAAGCCAAGGGGAAAGCCCCACCTCCAAACCCACAGCCAAGGGCAAGTCAGCCAGGAGCCCTGAATGTGTTACTGCCAAGTTTATCGAGCCTCCCTCTCCAACATCATGCTCACACCAGATCTGCCAAGGGCCGCAGAGCGTCCCCATCTCTCTGAAGTACCCCGCCAGGACCTCTGAGAACACCAGGAGTGTCTACTCCCAGACCATTGAAACAGCCCTGGTACCCTGTGATGCGTGCACCAGCGTCCAGGGCAGCCTGTGGGACGTGAGCAAGGTGATCATCAGCCTTTGTCAGAGCCAGAACTTGCCTTCATCCTTGGGCCAGTTCCAGCAGCTGGTGCAGGACAGCGTGGGGATCAAGCCCCTACCAGCTGCCACCATGAGCCATTGGGCAGAAAAGCAGAGCAAAGACCTAACGTGCCTCAGTAAGCACGTGGCGGCCCTCTCTCAGCTTGTTGGGCCTCTCAGGGCCCAGCTGGAGGAGACTGAGGGGCAGAAGGACAGCCTGAGGAAGCAGGTGGACAAGCTGGAGCAGGACTTGCGGCAGGAGCAGGGTGAGCGGCGGCGGCAGGAGGAAGAGTCCAAGCAGCACCTGAGCAAGTGGGAGTGTGACAGGCAACAACTGCTTGCAGGTCTGTACCCTATAGGCTGGACACTCAGTGCCCAAGGGCTCTGCTATACCCTGAGACCTGAGACCAGTACCAGTAGTTTAATAGATTGAGAAGTGGGCAAGAGGCAAGGAAAGAAAGGCAGTAAAGGACGTGCCTATCCAGCTGGGGGTATTGCCCATGAGGAGAAATGTGAACTCTGGAGCCTCCCGGTCAAGGCCCACATGACACAGCTGCTAAGAATACCACTCTGAGCTGGGGATCAGACCCACTGGGGAACACCAGCAGACAGTAGGTAGTGTGTGTGCCTTGGTTGTCCCATGAGAAGAGGGAGAGAGCTGGCTATTAACCCCCTTGCTCTATTTTTTTTTTCCCCCGGTACCAGGAATCGAACTCATGGCCTCACACTTGCCAGGCAGGCACTGTGCCGCTGAGCTAAATCCCCAGCCCAAAAACTTCTTTCTTTCTTTCTTTCTTTTTTTTTTTTTAACCCCCAGTGCCAGGAATCGAACTCACGACCTTGCACTTGCCAGGCAGGCACTGTGCCGCTGAGCTAAATCCCCAGCCCTAACCCCCTTGCTCTTGACCATCACTGAGGGTTACTTCTGAGGAGCTCATTCCCCTGGCCTGCACCGCAACAGAGCAGTCTTTTTGGCTTTGGCAAAATCTATTAGGCAACAGTGAAAAGTACTGGATGTTGCCAGTAGTTGCTGTGTTGTGAGGCTTGCAGGATTAGAGCACGTTGCTGCCCTTCCCGAGCCTGACCATGGCCTCTATGGAGGACATCATGGCCCAAAGTGGTACCAACACATGGCAGCCAGCAGCGAGAGGCAAGACGAGGTCCCAGGCTTCCTGGCATCTCCTCAGTGTTCCTTGGTGGCCTCCCCAATGGCATAGCTGTCTCCATTCTGCAGGGTGCTCTGGGCATGAGGGCTACTGGCCAGGCCCAAGGGCCCCTCTGAACAGCTTTTCTTTTGGCTGCTATAGAAATATGTGATCTAAAGACACAGGTGGTCAACCTCAAGGGAGAGCTGAAGCAGCAGCAGGAGTCCATGCAGGCCATGGGTAAGGAGCCCTGTTATGTGTCCCTGTGCCCTGTCTCAGTCCAGTGATGTGGCTGGACGAGTGTCCTCCATCTCTGTCCCCTGAGCTTCTGGGACAAAGAGGATTATTGTAGTAGGGTAGACCTGACCATTAGCACTGTTGTGCAACCACTTGAGCTTGGGTGACACCTCCTGCCCAAAGAACACCTTCTGTTTTCCAGACCCACCGAAGGGTTGTAGAGCCCCATGTTGTGACTGAGAACTCTGAAGCCCAGAGACATGATAAGAACCTCCCCTTAGGTCCCTTCCTAGGTCTGGGGTAGTGCAGGGAGTTGCACCCCTGCTCTGGCCCCCATGCCTGCTCAACCCTGCAGAGCCAAAGGCCCAGCAGCTGCAGGAGGAAGTTGAGCACAGGGTGGCAGCCGAGAGGCAGGTGCAGCAGCTAGAGGAGCAGGTGCAGCTGCTGGCAGGACGGCTGGATGGAGCTGGACAGCAGATCCGCTGGGCCAGCACGGAGCTGGACAAGGAGAAGGCCCGTGTGGACAGCATGGTTCGTCACCAGGAGGTGAGGCCCAAGGCACAGGGACTGGGGTTCAGGCTGTGTATGCACCCCTGTCCTTGTTCCCTGCCGTAACAGTAGGAGGGAGCTCCTCTTGTCATTGTCATTTCATGAGTGGGGAAACTGAGGCTGTGAAGGAAGTAGCCCCAGGCACACAGGTAGCAGGAGACGGAGCTAGGATTCACAGCAGAACACCACTGTTTCTTCCTGCTTCATACCCAGTGGATGCTGGCAATGTGGGTTTCAGTGATACAGGCTCATGTGACACTAAAGACGTAAGAAGAAAAACTTTCCCAGAATTCCCCTTCTAGTGGGGACTGCAGTCAACTGGAAAGAAGTGTGTTGGAGTGTGTGTGTGGGGGGTAAGGCTGCCAAGGTCAGCCAGCTATCTTCCAAGGGGTCTGCAAGCTGAGAGCCCAAGCCTAGAGCAGGCTGGTGTATGTTCGCCACTTCCGCCCCTTCCCCTTTATGTGTGCGTGGCCTCCCCGTGCACAGACATGAGGCATAAAGGGAGGTTCAGAGGGACAGGGATACTGTAGCCTCTTCAGTCCCATCTGGCTGTTGGCCCAGCCCTGTGGGTCTCACAGCCTGTCTCTTCCCACTCAGTCCCTGCAAGCCAAACAGCGGGCCCTGCTACAGCAGCTGGACAGCCTAGACCAGGAGCGGGAGGAGCTGCAGAGAGGTCTGGACGAGGCTGAGGGCCAGCGGGCCCAGATGGAGGAGCAGCTCCAGAGCCTACAGAGTGAGAAGGAGCAGGGACAGTGCCAGCTCCAGGCCCAGCAGGTGCAAATGGACAGGTTGAGGGTGGGGATGACCCTTCCCTTTCAGCAGCGGAGCCTCCAACCTGCTGAGCACCTGCGAGTCCATCCTGTGCCTGCGGGTGGGATGGCGTCCCCAGGGGAGCAGGAAGCCGGGAGCCATCCTGGGACCAGGTCTAAGCCTCTCCACAACACAGGAGCTGCTGCAGGGCCTGCAGCGGGAGAAGCAGGACCTGGAACACGTGACGACAGACCTGCGGCTGACTGTAGTGGACCTGCAACAGGAGATGGCGGAGCTGAGGGAGCAGGAGCGACTGCTAGTGGCCTTCCCTGACCTACAGAGGCCCATGGAGGACCCGATCCAAAGTAAGCGCCTGAGCCTGATGCCAAGGGCACGAGGGGGCCTGCGTAGGCAGGTGCGGGTACAGCTGGGCAGGACAACTCCTCCAGACTTCTGGTAGTGGGGCAGGGGCCAGCCAGCATGCAGGTGCTTCCTGTGTTGTTCATCCCTTTGTGCACAGGAGAAATGGAAGTCCAGAGATAAGGTCACTGCCCGTGGTTGTCACAGCTGAACCTAGTCACAGGTCTGGCTGCCTCTAGGGTATGTACTGCACCACTTCACATGGCAGTCCTTTGGTTGGCCTCCCTATGTCCCTCTTCCTGGCATCTCCCTATGCCACAGCAGTGTGGTGTCCTGATCCCCACGGTTAGGAGTGCTAGGTACCTGCACTGGCCCAGAAGCAGATGCCAAACCTTCTGAGTTTTCTCCCAGCCCTCTAAATCTCTGTGATGAATCCCTCCTCAGAGCTGCCAGGAAGATCCTCTGTCATTTAGTGGTCACAAGTCATCAGTCCGGAACACTAAGTGCCAGACCCTCCTATCACCTCACAACTGTCCTATCAGGCAAGCAGCAGTCCACTTTTTACAAAGCAGAAAACAACAGGCATCAACTTGCCAAGGTTTAGAGAGCTGGAAGTAACTGTGGATCACCGCAGCTTAGGAAAGAACATCCTTGGTGTATTCCTGTGACTCACTTCCGGAGTTGCCGGGGTGACTGGACAACTCACTGTATCTCTGGCCTGCCAAAATAGGTGGCCTGGAAGATTCTCTCTCAATAGGGATAAGAGATTCACTCTTGCTAATCTGCTAAATCATCTGAGTTCTAGGACCCACACAGCTCTCGATTCTATGATGGCAATATTGGGCCGGGCATGGTGGTGCACGCCGGTAATCCCAGCACTCGAGAGGCTGAGGCAGGAAGATCTTTGTGAGTTCGAGACTAGCCTGGGCTACAAAGTGAGCTCAAGGGCAGCCTGAACTGCATAGTGAGACCCTGTCTCAAAAAGACAAAAAGCAAAACAAAACAGTAGTGCGTCACCTTCCCAGCAGACGGGGGAACAGGGAAGGAGAACAAAGCCTCAAGAGAAGGAAGATGTGGGCCAGTGATATAGCTCAGTGGCACAGGTGCCTGCCTGGCACGTACAAGGTCCTGAATTTGATTTCCAATACCAAAAAAAAAGAGAGAAGGCAGATGTGATGAGAGGCCCAATGTACTCTCCAGTCGCTTGTGCCTGGCCTTTGAGGTCTGTCCTTGGGCACAGGCTGACCTGGTGAGGCAGGGTCCCAAATACTGTATCATGTCCCCATAGGCTCTGGCAACATCACAGACGACATGGAGAGGCAAGTACAGGCCAATGACATCCGCATCCGGATCCTGCAGGAGGAGAATGGCCGGCTCCAGTCAATGCTATCCAAAATCCGTGAGGTGGCCCAGCAAGGGGCTCTCAAGGTAGACCTGAGGGTGGACTTCGGGGGATTGGAGGAGGCTTCTACCCAGCAGAGGTCATTAGATCTACCCTGGGAACCTGTCAAGAGCTGAGAGCCAGCCTCATGGCAGGTGGGTTTAGGCTGTGCTTTTGTGAAACTTGTACCACACATCAAGAAGGTGTGAGAATATTACAGATTCTGTACCTTCTGGCTCCAAATATCCCTAGAGCCCTTCACACCTTAAGAACCTTCCCGCATGTGTTGTCTGCCCAAAGGTTTGCAGCTGAAGAAGTCCTAGATAGCTTTCCCTGCCCTTCAAGTGGGAAAGTATGAGTTCAGGCTCTTGCTCTCCTTCCCTACTATGAGACCTTCTCTGTACAGTGGGGAGGGGACCCCTAGGCACTTCGGAGCTTGGCTTTCTTTGCAGCTGATCCCGCAGGACCAACTGTGGTCCCCTCCTGGCAAGGGTACCCAGAGAGCAACACCCGTGGCCCAGGCCCAGAGGGTGTCCCCAAGGTGAGCAAGGCTTTGCCCAAGGCAGGGCAGACAAGGGTGGCATGGTGCCCCTCATTTATAGGGGATCTTGTGAACTGGTCCTCAGGCCCCTAAGCAGGCGGTACCTTCCTAGCAGCACGATGGGCAGCACAAGCTGGACCCCGCCAGGCCATCCCCAAAGATCCCCTCCTCAGCAGCCCAGCAAATGGCCCAGCAAGTCTTCCCTCAAGGATGTGACTCACTCTGCCACCTGTACTCAGAACCCCATCCGGGCCTTGGCCAGGCTGAGGAGGAGACTCTCACCAAATCAGGGCCCGGCGAGCTCTGCACAACAGTCCCAGGAGCGGTTCACCTAACTTACGGCAGGGACAGGGCTGTTGGGAGGCGGCTGGCAACTTCCCAATGGAATAAAGCCCCAGCCATGTCCACGGCATTCTTGGCCTCAGCATGGCTCAGCTGGAGGAACAGCCCTTCTCTCCCTTTGCAGGACATGGGTCAGGAGAGACTCAGCCAGCAAGCCCTGGCACTGTGAGCTATCAGTAGGGGGATTGCTTTCTGCCTCTCTCTGGGTAGGCTGTGGGTGAGGAGAGCACATCAGGGGCAGAAAGAAGCTTCTAGTACCTGGGCCAGGTGAAGGGCCCTTCCACTACCACAGCAAGAGTCAAGGAGTAAAGCTGGACACAGTGACTGGCACCCCCTGAGCTGCCTGTGTCAGGGTGACGGTGTACTGGGAAAGGGCCAGCGAGGAATCTGAGGCCAGGATCTTGGCTCTGGGCTCACGAAAACAGGCAGAAGACAGTGACAGCTTCAGCCTCCCACCTTGGCTTTAAACCTGGGCCGGGGGACATTAAGGACTCAAGAATACCAGGCATCCTTTCACCGAGGAACTCCTTGCCTTTAGGGACTGCTGAGAGAACAAAGGAGTTCTCTACCTCCTGAAGGTTAGAGCCCAAGAGGCCACCAAACGCAGGGCCAGGCCTTTGAAGACTTTAGCCAGCTCTGACTTTACAAGGCCTAGACCTTGGGGCCTGTTCAACCTAGCGTGCCATGTGGCTGGGCATTCACGTCACCAAACACCCCAGGCACACAGTGGTCATTGTCCTTAAGAAGGAAGATACTGGCCCCATGAGTCTTCCGTTTGTCTGTGAAGGATAAGCTTGGAGACCTTGCTGAGGACTTTTTTTTTCCTTCTAGTACCAGGGATTGAACCCATGGCCTCATGCATGCTAGGCAAACAGTCTGCCACTGAGCGACACTCCCAGCCCCCTCACTAAGGACTTCTCAGGCTGTGCTCTCAGCCTTCTGTGGCATTTCCTCTGGTGAGGATGGTAAGGAGACCATCATGTGGAGCTCTGCAGGTAACAGAAGAGGATCAAGAGGGGTCACGTGTAGCAGGCCAGCACTGTTAGGTCTGCCTAACTCCCGCTTCTGAGAAGTCCCAGAGTTCTTGAAGAGGCTGGGATGCCTTGGGCCATCCCTAAGGGGAGAGCCAGCCATTGGGGGTGGCTCCCTGAGCAGTTGGGCCAGCCCAGGTCCAGCGGGGAAGCCCTCTCACAGCTGAACGACTCTCTCAGGCCTCTCCCAACATGGCATCCATTCATCAACTCACAGTTCTGCAGGTCCACAGTCCAAGTCCTGCATGGCTAGGGTTCTTGGCATAGGGTCTTAGGAGGTGGAAATTAAGGTATTCACCAGGGCGTATTTCTGTCAGCCCTGGGGAATAATCTTCCAAGCTCATTCTGGTTGCTGGCTGAATTCAGTCCTGTAGGACTAAGGTTCCTAGTTCCATCTTCCTTACCTCATGGCCCCTCCATCTTCAGGTGAGCAGCAGAAAATGTTGCAGCATTGAATCCCTTTTGTGCTTCAAGTCTCTGACTTCTGCCAGCCAGGGGAAACTGCTTCTAATGGGCTTGTGTGTCGATCAGGCCCACTAGGGTGCTTTCCCCATCTTAAGGTCAGCTCTGCATATAACATAACCTGATCATGGGGGTGACATCCCGTAGAGTCACCACTGCACAGATTATACAGGGTGTTCATGGTAGGGTGGGGGTGGGAGGCCTTGGGGGTCATCTGAGAACTCTGCCCGCCACTGGCAGTAGAAACCAAGGCAACTTTTAAAAAAAATCTTAAAAACAGCCACATAAACTTTACATCTTATGTTAAAATAAATCCATGTTTATTTTACTATTAAAACTTCCCTGTCCCAACTCTTAAAAAAACATGCCCTTGGAGGATGCACCACATTTATCCTGTGGCTTCAAGTACTGTATCTCGGTGAGTAACATATGCCCCAGCCAAGAAGTACAAGACTGGGTCGATTCTAAGGCCTTGTCCCAGCCAGGCCTGGGGTGGGAGCCCAGCTGGACAGCAGCAGGGCCTGTAGCTGCCAATGACTGAGGACAGCAAGTAGTAGCGGGGTCTCTGGGTTTAACATGACAGCCTTGACCAAGACTATCTTGAGAGACAGTCAGGCCAGGGTGCGCCAAGGCCAGATAGCTTGTTCCTCAATCCACCTCTGCCCCAATAAATAAGCATAAAACACAGCCACGGAGCCTTAGCCCTCGGGGATCCCCTGGCTCCACTGGTCCCATGCTCTCTGCAGTGTCCCAGGAGCCGCGTGTGAGCAAGGCAGACACAGATATCCCAGGACTGCAGAAAAGGGCCACAAGGCGACTTCTCACCCGGGCCTGGTGGGCCCTGGGCCTGCATGTTTGGCCAGGGGTGCAGGTCCCTGCTTCCCAGCATGGTATGCTGGGGCCCACATCTTCCACCCACAGGCCTGACCACCCTGTCCATTCCACCATCCTGTCCAGGAGCCCAGGCTAGGGGCCGGATGCAGCGGAAGGGTCTGTTTCTGCACACAGAATCCCCAGCAGGGCAGCTAGTCATCTGAGTAGCGGTTCCCTGTAGGGAAGGAGGAGGAGGAAGGACATGGAAGGAGGCATCAGGTGGGGCCATTGGGCCCTAGGGCACTGCCGCAGTGCTTACCCAGGACGTTGAATTTGCACAGTGGACACGTCTGTTGGAGCATCAGCCAGGGGTCCACGCAGTCTCGGTGGAACTCATGCTTACAGGGCAGCACCCGGAGCCACTACAGGGATGAGGGGAGAGGCTCAAGTCAAAGGGCAGGGCTCACAGCCCTCACTTGAGCAGGGAAACAATCCTCTTAGCGCCTGTTCCCCCAACCTCTACCTGCTGGCCCAACCCCATTCTGGTTTCTGTAGTCCTGTTGGGGGTTGGAAAGCAAAGGGCCTGGTGGGGTGGTCTCAGGGTCTCTAGGAGTACAGCAGGGGAAGTCACAGGTCAGCTGATGGCTGGTCTTACCCAGGCCACTAACCTGCTTGTTATAAAAGTAATCCAGACACACAGCGCAGGTCTCAGTGCCAGGCTCCGCAAGGCCCTGCCCTGCTCTGCTCAGACGGCAGCGCCGGGTCTTGAGGGAGGCCAGTCTTCGCACCACACGGCGCTTGAGAAGGTCCACCTATGGCAAGAGGACAGCCACAGTCTCATAGGCCCGAGGGCTAGGGGCACCAGGGTTCCTGTGCTCTGGCTCCCACCTGGCCTCCAGGCTCCTGCTGGCTCTGCCGTGATGCCTGCCGCTGGGCCTGGACCACAAGTCCTGTGCACAGGAGCATGGCCACCATCAGGATGGCATTCCACAGCTGCTGCAGGGGCTTCTGGGGGAGGGAAGCAGCTGTCAGGGGTGCTGGAGCCGCTCCTTGTGTTTCCCTCAGGAGCATCCACCCCCACGACAGGCAGGTGACATGCATCAAGGGCCTCCATGTCCCTGCAGGTTCCTGGGTTCCTTCTTCCAAGCCCTTGTCCCTGCCACCTGTCCTCAGGGTCTGTCCCAGCTGCCTTTGCTCCACCCAGGTGCAAGGACAGCTACCTGTGTCTCTTGCACTGTCCTACCCCATCCTCAGCCTGCGCTTCCTCCTGCTGTGCTTTCTCGGGCTGCAGTATGCCCTGCTTCACTTCCATCTAGGAGCTCAATTGTGGGCTAGAGCTGGGAAACAGAACTGAGAAATCATCGTAAAACCTGTAGGCCCAGGCCCCAGGGAGCTTCAGATTCCTAGGGGAACCGCACTGCTCCTGACTTAGCTCCCACCACATGCAGCATGGCTCTAGATTTTGAACACGGAAGAGCCAGCTCAGGAAATGACGTGGCACAGTAAGACATGCTCTCCCACACAGGCACGCTTATTTCACACAGCTAGTAGATATGTTATGACTAATAAACACATTCACTTAAAAGCTTCCAGTATTCCTGGTGCTTTCTGCCCAGACCAATGCTGAAGTTAACTCCCATCGTGACAGAAGAGGAGGTGAGAAGCACTTTGATCTAAACAAGGTTGGGGGCTGCTAGTGCTACAGGACAGCGCTCTTGCTTATGGTTGGAGGTACTTTGGGGTCTGTTACTGAGAGGTGTCTAGGCGCCTGCCCCCATTTTCCCTCCTGTCTCACTGGGATGGTGGTACCGGATCTGGAAGCTCCCTGTAAGCCCTAGGCTGAGCTCCGGTGCCTTTGCTATAAGCGGGGAGACTTGTGTCTGCTACCAGCTCAGCCCTCACCCCAGAAGAATAACTGTTGCTAGCTTATCCACTCCCCAGACTGGGTCCTGTGAGCCCAGGGCTAGAGCTGCCCTGCTGTGTCCCATGCCGTTCTGAAGCAGGCTCACACGGGGCAGGACTTGCTGAGTGGCCACTACAGCTAAGCTCTCCAGGGCACAGCCTGCTCTGAAGCTCCTGGCTTGGAACATCTAGGCTCAGTGCACCTTGGGGGGCCCCCAAGAAAGGCGGAGGGGGGGCTTGTTATCAAGAATGTAGTTGGTCTGAGTTTCCTGATACATGGGTACCAGGAGTGCTCCAAGCTCCGAAAGGCTGGCTTGGGGTCAGGGCTGAGGGTCCAGTGTCCATGAGACAAGCCAGCTGAGATACCTGCCCAGCCACCCTTTGGACACCTCAGCTGCCATGGCCACTCCAGCCAGCAGCATGACCAGGGCTGTTCAGCTTTGCCTTCTTACCAGCCAGACCTAACTGTATATAGACTGTAGGCATTCTCAACGCCAGGCCTCCTGGGGCCTATTCCTTGGCCCACCCCTGCCCAGCTCTGACCTTTCTTCAGTCCCACATCAAATCCCTGCCCTGGATCTGTATGGAATGCCCATGAGGGATGGATATATATGTATACATATAGTGCTGTTCCTACTCACAAGCGAGGAACATGAGACCAGAGAGATTATTGACTTATGATCACTCAGCTAAGCTTTTAAAGCCAGGACTGGAGCCCAAGTCTGCCTTATTTGAAGCTCTTTAAGGTGGCCCAGGTTGACTAACACCTGCTGGAGGTGCTCACCGGGCATGCCTGCTGGCACAGAGAAGGGGTCCAGGAAATGCTAGTGGACACTTGTGAACCCCTTCATGTGAGCACTGGGAAATCCAGAGACGAGGAGAACACATCCCTGGCCAGTAGGAGACCAAGGCATGCTCCCTAACATACAGGGTGGGCCGCCCTGAGTCCTGGGAGAGACCTGGTAAAACACTGCTGTAAGGCAGAGGACCTTGAGCAGAGGGTATGAGGGAGCATTCCAAAGCAGGCAGGCAGCGTGAACTGTGAGGGTTCTGCTAGACAGCCCTATGGAGACGGAGAAAAAGGGGATCAGTGCCTAGGGCCAAGGACGAACAAGGCCCAGAAGCAGGGGACCAGAGCACATGTGGAGGCCAGTGAATGGCACAGGGTATTCAGAGCATAGGGAAAAGCCTATAAGGTGAGGGATGAGGAGAGCCATAAAAGCCAGACTAAGGAATCTGACTTTATTCTAAAGACAATAGGGAGCCAAAGAAGGCTACTGAGTGGAAAAACAGCACAATGATGACAGCAGCTAAGATGAACTGCATATGACCTTAGGCTAGATGCTTCCTGGAGGGCTCCCTGCATCATGTCACTAAACACATGAGTCTTGTGAGGTAGGAAGGGCTGCCTTCCACCAAGGCAAGGAGACCCTGTGGGATTTGGGACCCAGCAGAATCCACTTGCACCCACCTGCTCCTGGGCATGACTGCCTCCCAGGCACACTAGATCCTGCCATCCTCCGTAGCCATCCTTGGAGAGACCACAGGTGGTCCACAGGGTCAGCTTCCACTCAATGTTGGCCGACAGGGATTCTCCACTGGTGATCTCAGCTGTGGCCTGGGTCCTCCTGGGAAGGAAAATCACAAAGGGAAAAGGAAGGGGCTGGGGGTTTAGCTCAGCCCCTGCCTGGCAAGCGCAAGGTCGTGAGTTCGATTCCCGGTACTGGAAAAAACCCAAAAACAAAACAAAAAAACCCAAAAACCAAACAAAGGGAAAAGGAAGAAGGAGACCCAGACTCACCCTCCCCAGAGGCCTGCCGTGGAACCCACAGAATGTCACCCCTACAGGCCATCTGATTTGGCTCACAATCTTTTCCCAGCGGTTGGTTTTTCCAGTTCTCACACAGCCCTGGTACCACCTTCCCATCCTCCTCCCCATTTCCAGCCCTGGAGAATACAGCCTGTTCCTGGGTCCGCTGAGCCCACAGAAGAGCCAGGGAGCCTCAGCATGCAGGCTGCCCAGACCCAGTCTTTTTTGGAGCCCAAACCCCAACTCACCGCAGCAGTGCTTCCAGCAGTTTGGTGACATTGGAAGAATAATGGAGGACAATCACAGGCCTGAGCAGAAGCTGGGATATGTCCAGCTAGAGGGGACAGGGAGGTCAGCAGGCTCTGGTTGTCCCTTCCCCAGCCCACTCACCCTCACGACTTGCTCTGCTTTACCTCTCGGACCACATTGTGGTTCAGGATGAGGAGAAGCAGAGCAGAGGCTCCCAGGAAGAGCGCCCGGCGCATCTGCAGGAGGACAGAGGCGGGGCGCTGGCATATCCTCCGCCGCACCTGTCTCACCTCGCGCAGCCCCACTGCTCTTAGCTCTCCTCTCTGCAGTAAGCCTTTCCTCCGGACCAGCTATAAGCTTCTTGAGGTCAAGGGCAAAAGCTCTCATGCTTCCTGCTCTGTAAAATCCAAATAACTCTGCCCTTTCCCTGGTTCCCGCAAGGCAGGCCTTCTGCCCGATCCTCCAACGCTCCCCTCGCACAGTATGGCGCAGATCCCAGAGCAATCAGAGCCTCTCCCCACCTCCCTGATTCCACACCCGACTGCCTAGCTCTCCAGACTGGAGTCCCCGAACCCACACAGGCCCAGGGCTTCTCTTTAGGGGCCAGCTGGTAGCCTGGCTCTAACAGATGCCTTGGGAACCTTTTGCCCCAGCCCCTGCACCTGCTGGACCAGGGCCTTGGGATAGGCCTGGGCACCACTGCCCTGATTCTCCTGGTGGAGCTGGGCTTCCTGCTCCTTGCCCACATATGCCACTGCAATCCAGCCTTCTACGGGCATCTCTTGCTCAGTATCCACGATGTCCATCTGTGTAGTGAGGGTCAATGAGCAGAATGAGGCAAGGGCAGGTGACGGGGTCGGCCACACAGGATGCAAGGTCAGGGTCTTGCGAGCGAGTAGGGAGAAGAGGGCATCTCAGGTTTTGGAAGGTTGAATGCTGGGGGCCAAAGCAGACTGGGGAGGGTTCGCTGGGCTGTCAGGGCTCCTTCCAGGAGCAAAGCGCGGTCTGGGTGCCGGGTCTATGCCGGGTGTCGGAGGCGGCGCTCACCAGCAGTAGGCGGCCGCCCAGCGGGGGCGCCGGGTCGGCTTCGGGGCCGATCCTGACGCCCTCCAGGACCAGAGCGTCCTGCCGCTGCAGCCTCACGTCCACCCGCACGGCGC